GACTTTCATCATGTTTTGTTGCTCTGCTCCAGACTCTCTCCAATTTGTCCACATCTTTCCTAAAGTGCGGTGCCCAGAACTGGAACAGTACTCCAGCACAGGCCTCACCAGGGCCGAGCAGACTGGCACAATTACCCCCCCCCCCATGTCTTACATATGACGTTCATGTTAATACACCCCTGAATGATATTAGCCTTATTCAGTGGGATTGGGGCCTGAAACGGCTGATGAAACCAGTTCCTTTCAAAGTATGTCAGTGACACACAGACAAATTTTCTCTCGGTATTTGACTCCAAACTGCCCAAGGAGAACTGAACATCCACTTTGCACCTCAAATAAAAGATTTTTTTAGGAACATCTCTTTCCCCTCTCAGAATTCCTTAGATTGGTCTGAAAACAGCTCTTTTGCTTAATTAAATGTTCCAAGTGAAACTAACAGATAACTCAGACTTACTCTGTAAATAACTGCTAATGTTGCAGTCATAACAGAACACTGGAGTTATAGTTACCTGTGTCCTGTCCCTTTAAGGAGGTCTGCTAAAGAGGCCACGGGGGGACACAGCTGGTACCAGGGTGTGGTCCTAGGAGAGGTTGGTGCTCCAGAGAGACTCAGCAGCACTGGGGCTTGTGCAAGCTGTGTTTGCTTGTTTCATAAACCCTTCAGGTTTAAAACCATGCCTGGTCTGTGAGTGTAACACTGACAGGCAGATACATGTGAAGGCTGCATTAATGAGAGCTAATTTTCTAATAAATCCTGTTTGTTCTTTCAGTTTAAAAAGTGAGAACTTTGACTGGAGGCCAAAGAGCTGAAACGAAGGGATTGGAAGTAAGCAGCGATTTACGGATTATGCATTGGGAAACAAAGGGGATGAAATCCCAGCCCCATAAAGCTCCATAGCACAACTCCCATTGATTTCAGTAGGGCATAATAAAATCTAGAAGTTTCTTGTCTGGGACCTTGAAGTACAATTTTGGGACTAATCCATAGTGCAAACTATTATATGCTGATGAAAGGTCAACTAAGATTTTTTTGTGCTTGAGTCACTCAATGGTTTTAAATTGAAAGTAAAATATGCTATCTATATCTATCTATATAGAGAGAGCATGATGTAGTCTTGAACAAGATCTAGCAATTTAGAAGACATGTCATGTATCACAAAAACAAAGTGAATAGTTCACTATAGATTGAAATTTGGCTGCACAAACTACTTGGTGAATAAATTAAACAAAAACTCAATTCATTGGATAATTAAATTACATGAAGAATTTGACCAGCTCAATTGGGAAGGCTTTGGGCAACTTTATTCATATCTGTATAATCCACTGAAATAAAGTTATTAACATGCATGAGTGCTGGCAGGATTGGAACCTTAACCTACATCAAACTGTATTCATCAACATACAGTAGAGGTGCCCTATGAATGGCCAACATGATACAATCACTCTTGTCCAGTTTTCTGCACAATAAAATTTATCCATGCTGGAAGGTCGTATTTAGCCATGTCATCAAAGCTATAAATGGAAAGTCATCTTTAACTGGATGTAAAATACAGTTATATTTCTATATTTAAATACATGTATTTGAATGTATCACGCTGAGGTCCAGAGTTAGCAGCTGAAATAACTGAAATACTTGGGTGATTAATTAAGTAGCTGTGATTTAGGGTCTTGTCTAACCACTGCTCAATTGCTTTAGACTGTGATATGTTGTTACTATCAACAATACTTTTATTTTTTTTGTTAACAGTTAAATTAATTTTTGGTATTTGTGAAAAGCACTGGATTGACATTGACACTGAATGTGGAGTCCTCTTGCTGCCCGCAAAACACGTATGTTATGTACCACAGTGCTACGACTTCTCCACATCTCACCAGTTCTGTTTTTGTCCCACTCACACTGATTCAGGAAAAGAGTTAAAGAATTGTATTAAACTGCTGTCTAAGCAATTCTAACAGACAGTTATTGGTTTAGTTGTAACTACGTTGAAAACGAGTTTCATCCCTGAATAATGCCTCTATCAATTATAATGTCCGGTGACAGCACAGAATTGTAACAAGTGTTGAATTATTTGTCCTTTTCACAAATTCACATAATGTAGTCAAATGTAAGTCATCTGATGTCAAATATATATCCCATAATATCTATATTTGTGTGTAAGTGCTCATAACTGTTTGACTCCAATTGTGTAGAAAATATGAGAAACATGCTAATTCTTTATTCTTGGTTCATCTTTTCACTGAGTGGGGGCAGTGATTTCACAGCCCCTACTCTGTAAGGGACCTGATTGGTTTGCTAATGATTAGGCAATTAACTACTTAATATTTTGAAAAAACCTTGAAGTCTGAAAAATTATGCAAATAGCAAATATACATAACGTGATATTCCTATTACTGCTACCCTCTGCTTTCCTTCTCTGCTCATCCACCCACCTGTTATGCCTTTTCTTTACTTAGCTAGTAAATTCTTTGAGGCAGGCACTGTCTTTTATTATGTCTGCACCCAGTACAATGGGGCCCTGATCCTGACTGGCATTCACAGGGCACTACAATAACAGAAATAAATAGTAATAATACCTGAAAGCCCCGTGTTTTTCTTGGCTCACTGAAAGGGTCACATCTTCTAGATGATATTGTTCCTCTACTATCAAAACATCATAGCCAGCATCTGTTAGCAGCTAGAATGAAGTCCAGGCTGTTTGTGGCCAGATTAATGATCCAACTGGTACCATCTGTAAGAAAACAATGCTGCAGAAACCCAACAGGCTTGGTACCCGAGAGAGAGATGCATTGAATATATATATAACAAAAACACATCTTTTGTGACTCTGGTAACAAAGTGACACCCATACAGTTAGACACTGTGTGTCTCAGACTTCCAGTCTAGCATCAAGTGCTAAAAATAATGAATTTGTATTGACAGTAGCCATTTACCGGTAACTGAGTTTTCAGAACCTAAAAAGAACTTCTCTTCCTCATCTCTTGTGTTAGTGTCTGTAATATAATAAGTAACAAATGTTTGTAGAATAACATTACTGAAATGCTATAAGCTCTCTATTTTGAAAGTTTCAAAGAAAATGTCTTACCATGTGTGTGGCTGAATACAAACCAGTATTACTCCTACTGCATTTGACATTTCTAAGGTGCAAATTATTAAGATGCAAATTATAAATACATGGAGAGATGTACATCAATTTACCAAGTGTCCTGCCAAATAGAGGCATCGAGGCATTCACTTTATCCTCCTCTACTTGACATTGGCCTTCTTGTGCAACAGCATTATGGACTTCCTGAATAGGCTTGTTATTTTCAGGATGTTCAGCTCATGTAGTTAGTAAGTGGTGGCATACAATCATTTGACAACAGAGAATTTTACAGAAAGGCATGAATGACCTGGCACATAAATAGAGATGGAGTAACAACTGATCACCAATCTCAGATCACTTCTAGGAGCTCCCTGTGCCCATTTCACGGACATACGCCTACACAGAAGGTTTAAACTTGGCCGCATTGTAGACAATGGAAAAACTGCCACTGACTTCAGTGAGGCCATAATTCCACCCACAGAGTCAAGATTGTCCTCGTTTCACTGACATACACCTACAAAGAGTGTCCAGTTTATTGTATCTTGAAAGAATGAGTTTTTAAACACAAACTGCCTTCAGGAAAGTTTCTTTGTGATCTTATCAAAACCAAACTTAACTGGCCATTAGCCTCTGTGATAGGGTCCTCAGGGAGCTAGGTAGTGTAGTGGTTAGTGCACCTGTCCTCCGCTGTGTCTCTTTCTCTCTCAGAGGCAGATGGAGTTTCAGAAGTGGTGCCTGGTCCCTGACCCCAGATTGAGACTGTTAGGGCCTTCCTCCTGCATCTGGGCTTTTGCCCTAAAATGGGGTATGGTAAGGGGAACAATGCACTCCCACTCCACCAGCTCCCAGCCCAGGGCCTTGTGAAAAGTAATACTGGCAAGTTCCTCTCTGTAGAGAATGCAAGTCTGCCACCCTGGATTCCTGGGAGTTTAGTCTGAGAAATATGAACTCCAGAGTTAGAAAATGAAGAGTTAAGATTGAACTAATCAGCCCTACCACCACACTCTATGGACATATACCTAAAAATATAGGCCACATGTTAATATTCTAAATCTCTTTTCACATTGAATTAAGAATTAGATAGTAAAATCTTGTAACTGTCAGATTGTCTTTCCTATATCTACAAAAACGAGGAGTCCGGTGGCCACCAACTCCTCATTGTTTTTGTGCATACAGACTAACACAGCTACCCCTGATACTTTCCTATATCTGTATTTCCAGATTCATTGTATCAGATTCTTCCTTTTTGATCCTCTATTTAAAAAAAAAAGAACATATCTAGAATTTGAATATTTAAGCTCTATTTGTGTTGAATGCAAAGGTCTGTAAACAGAAATAACATACAACAGATATGGAGATTTGTTTCACATTTATTTATTTTGCATATGTAGAACAAGCCTCAAAATAACCCAACCTTTTCCCTGCATGCTCGTTCAACAAACATATGACACCTCTTTGTGGTCTGTATTAGTAATCATTAAGGTCAGTTCATGACCTCAGCCCTGTGACAGCAGTAAGGACTGACCCTGGTCAGATGATTGGGGTGATAAAATAAAATCTCTAGTCTAGATCATTGGCTGCATTAGGTCAGTATAGCTCCACTAATGTCAATGGAATGATGCACGTACTCAAAGTAAACCAAGTGTGAACTGGGACCATTGTTATGTCCTGTCTAGCCATATTTATCAGTTGTCTCCCATGCCCTCAATTAAATTTTATAGAAAAGGCATCTAGACACCAGCACAAAAAAATTATCTTGGAACCAGAACTTCATGCCTATCCATGATATGCTTTATTTCTAAAGCTTGACACGTTAGAAAAACAAAGGATTTACATTTTTATAGCATAGCATATGCATTGTATATTGCAACTCAATATTTCCCTTCTTTGGATACATTCATGCTGCTCCCCTAATACTGAAGTTCATTAAAGAGAATTTTATTAAAGTAAAGTAAATTCATCAAGTATAGATTGTTACATAAAGAGTTTTGTAATTCATTAAAAACCAAATAAGACAGGTATCAACAGAAATTAATATTATCCTTGATCCCAAAGCCACATTTTTATGTATTCTTCCTCATCAAGTCGAGGATTTCATTATACATGCGCTCAGGTGCATTGAGGCCCCAGATGAAATCCAGATGGTTCCAGTCAGGAATCACCTTGTGGTAAACCAGATTAGTGACTTGTGGGAGCAAAAGGTCAACATCGATAGGGTCAGCAAGCCAGTCATTTCCACCACTCCACATCGCAGTTGGGACTTGCATGTCTGTCACATTGTATATGGGCGGAGTATCCTTTAAAAAAATTTTTTTCACAAAAGAAAACAAGTTTGGATTGGAATGCAATGAACAATCAGTTACACATTACTAGAAGACTATTTTAAACAAAGAACTTTATAATGATTTACTGTAGTTCTTGAAAGAAGAGAAATTACTAATTCAAATTAAACATGAGGTAATAATTGTAACTTAAATATCACAATTTTGATGACAATATAGAGAACTCAAAATGAGTTCTCTCACACAAGTTTCATCAATTTTTGGCTCTGAAAGAATGCATTCTTCAATGTGTTACAGAATTTTAATGACCTCAGAAGTTACACCTAAACCTTACACTGAAACCTCCACTATCCCAGGCTACTGCCACATATAGAGGACATTTTCAAAGGCACAATCATACAGCAGATGAGAGACTTCAGGATACTCAGACAAGATAAAAACAAAACAAAAAACCCAAAACTACACAGAGCAATAATGCAGATGTTCACAGTGTGATTTCTAAAGTGTTGCTCATTAATTGGCCCATGTAAACCATGCAGGTGTGAACTAAAAGTTCCCTAGTGAACTGAGAACTTTTAGTTCACACCAGCAAGATCTACGTGGACCAATTAATCTGCTACTTGTTAGTGTGCTTTAGAAATCACACCTGTGTAGTCCACTTTACTGCTCCATGTAGACAAGCCTTCTTTACATTTTACCTGAACACCTCTTTTCCTCTCATCTTATGGTTGTAAAATGTTTGGAAGTAAGAATGAGATATTCAAGTAATATATATTTAGAGTATCTAGAGGGCTACATTGATTCATCACCACAATATTTTTCCATCAGATGAGTCTTCAGAGCACAACCGCTGAACTTCCAGGCAACGTCTCAACTGCATTTCTTCCAGTTAAAAACTCAGCTCTCTCTGAAGAGGTGCTATGCCTCTTGCTAGTGGAAGCCAAAGACTTGCTTTTGAATCTTATCATGCTTCAAATATCCTACTCCTCCACACAGCCCCCAGTGACCCAGCAGACAAAACTACAATTCCTCCAACGTACAGGTCTCCAGCCTTTTCTGACTGATACGCACCCAGTAGTTTTTTAGCAATAATATAAGGGTGTTAGCAATGACTTCATTTATATTTCTGTACTCTATCAGAACTAGAATTTACAACAAGATTGAGGACAATGAGAGTTGTGGACCACAAATTTCAACTTTCCAGATATTTTCATTTGAATTTTCAACCAGGAAATTGGGTGCATCATTTTTGTAACTGAGTTTCCTAGTTCTTTTAAAGAAGCCAACAGTAACTGATCAGACAAGAACACAACAGCTTTTATATTTGAGATTATAGATTCAAATTGGATGGAAAAGTAAGAAAATTCTAACTAGTTTTTTCTGCTTTGAAATAAATTAGACCTTATTTTAAAATACTCTCTATTCTAACCATAGGCACAGAGATACAAATGTATACTGGTGACTTACTACATAAATATTTTTAACGTGTGCTTTTTTTAAAATAGAGGACAATAAATTCAGTGGAATTTCTCTCGATTTATACTGGTATAAATGAGAACATAATTTGGCCCCTAATATGGAATTATTTTTAAACTATAGCTTTTGCTTGGCTACCATAGCTTTTGCTGTCAAATGGGATAGTATGATGCCCACTCTTTTTTTTTACAGTTTTTTTTTAAGTAAAAATTCTGAAATGTTTTCACATCAGAATTACCTTACCTGATCATAGTGGACTTTGTTAGATGGTATTCCCCAGTCATAAGCTTTCAGTTTACCACTTTTAATCACCTAGAGTAAGAATTAAAATCAAACGTACATGTTTTAACTAAAACAAGGTAAAAATAATTACTGCATTTGCCCCTCCAAAGTTAGCCTTTGAAACTAGTCCCCGCAGAGATTTGCATAATCTAGTTCAAACTGGATTCTCCAGGGTCTAACAAAGAAAGGATTTTAGGATAAATAAGCTGGGATTAGACTGACTCGGGACATTCTCCCTGATCCAACAAATTAACAGGATCGCTGGCCTATGGAAGGCCCCAGTCCTTAGGGGAGGGTTGGAAGGACTTGGCCTATTGAGGTCTCGTAAGACTGAGTGTTTGTTCTAAGCTTAAACTGAGATGAATTTGTGACCACAAGGAATCTCCTGGGTGGGGCTGAAGGACTGCTTCTGCAGAATCCACATTAGGGTGATGTTTGGTAAGTTTATTAGCATGTGTGTAGGTTCTTTTATTGTTTTCTATGTAGTGTTTTTACCTTAAGACTAAAGTAGGCTTGCATAGGAAGTGCTATGTGGTACCTTATAACTGTAGCAATTACACCTGTTAATCGTTTCTGAAGAGAAAGCAAGCAGGTGTCTTTGGGCAGTCTACCTCTGCTGGGAATAACACAGTGAAGGCAGGGAACTGTGCAGCCTGGACATACCCAGGTCAGAAGGGAGTGACCATGTGGATTTCCACTCAAGAAAGCCAACGGCTGGTGAGCTGGAAACCTAAGAGTGGGTGCTCTTGCTGGACCACTGAGGGGGAATACAGGTGCTGCTACCCTGAACTGCGACAATGGCATGTCTACTCTACCATTCCTTTATAGAGACAAAAAAAGGATATTTTGTTGATTATATTTCCATGTATCCTGGGTGGGGACTGGCACCGAGTACTAACTTGCAAGCTAATTTGTACATTATGCATGGAAAAAAGAAACTAGCAGTGCTGCCCTGTGAGGTTGCTCTGTAATTAGCTATGTTCATGCCTCTGCCAAGTTCTCTGCTTGCAGAATATACTAAGCCAGGGTAGACACAAGCATGATTAAGGGAGGATTAGTTCTTTCAATGTGGCAATGCCAGCTTGATTGCTAAATTGTTGGCACTGAGAATAAATTAGGACAATAGAATAGGAGACTGGCCCTAAATCAATTTTCAAACATCACACACGATTGTTACATAATGATTACAGGGCACTTTATATTTCAGAAGTTCTACCTGTTTCCAGTGAATTATGTTTTGTACAGAGGTTCCAGCTGGGGCATGTGTAATATACACATATATTCGGCTCTAAAAGGAAACATTTATATTACATAACAAGTTTCATCTCACGAAATGGATCTACTTATTTATCATAAATCAATGCAGGCAATTTCAAGGATAAATCTGTTTTGCAAAAAATATCTGAGGAACAATTGTAGATTTAGACGTACCATATTTAAGTTCTTCTCATTAAATCCACACAGCTCAAACATGAGGTTGCCACAAAACTCTGATAACATGCCCTGGCTGCAAAATTCAGCAGCAAACAAGTCAGCAAAAAAATTCTGTCGTATGAATTCTTTTGTACCAACTACAGTCTGTAAAATTACAAAGATTCATATTTAATAAAATTACAGATATTGGAGATAAAACCTGCCCTCCCTTCCTTCTATCTGCCAATCAAATAATGTCTCCTACAGTATATTCGAGTTCTGTGTTCAATACACATTTAAATAAATCAGGTGATTAGGAAGGGGAAGACTATTCGCCATTCCAATTGTCCTTACAGTGAAGAATTTTTCCTTCAGATTTTCGAATCCTTAATTATTTCCTTCTACTTACACCTCTTGGATAGACTTAAGTAATTCCTCTCCCTCCTTGGTATTTACAACCTTCAGATACAGCTAAACTACCACACTCTCCCTCCATCTTTTGGCCTAGCTACAGGAACATAGGCATTACTATATCAGATCAGACCACTGGTTCAACCAGTACAATTACTGGACTCTGCAGTACCACATACTTCATAGGGAGATACTAGAATCCTTATAATAGAGAATCATGGAACAACATGCCAGTCAGGGAAGACACCTCCAATTCCTGGCAGCTCAAGGTTGTTTTATATCCTGAAGCAATAAGGCGAAAATCCCTTGTTTTGTACCTTACCTAGTATAGCTGGATGTACTCATTAACCATATAAATGCCTAATCCTCCTTTGAACCCTGCTAAGCTTTTTTCCTTTTAGAGTATTAGATTTGTTGCCCTTCAGTTTTACTGAACGCTACCCTTTTCTTGTATTAGGAGAAGGGGTAAGTGGCAGCTTTGTTACTACCACGACACCATTTTCTATTTTATAAACCTCTCATGTCTCCTTTTATTCTACTCTCTAAATAGTCCAAGATTTTTTCATTCCCCCATGACATTGAAGTCTGCCCATCCCTCTAATTGGTTTCCTAATTCTGCTATAACATACTTTATGGGTAAATTTTGGCACAGTGAACATAGATTATGGATTAAGGTATGTGACTAGCTTTAACATTTGTACAAATTGCAAAGTAAAATCTCTGGAAATTCTAGAATGTCTCACTTCATTTTAACTGTTCTGTCTTAATTGGTTTTAGAATCCCCACCAAAAAGTCCAACTAACTTTGGTTAACAGATATTCTCTCTAAAAAATCACATACCTTGATCACTGCATCGGGAAGTAATGCAAGCTTTGTCAACAGGCTTTGGGCATATTTAAGTGTGGCTACAGGAGCTAAAGCAAAATACATTTTGATTCTTTGAGCCAGCTGGGGCATGGTTGAAAATGTTATAAAAGCTGAAAATGAAGAGAGATGTACAAGTTACTATTGCAAGGAGATCAAGCACAATGTTTAGATTTTGTGAAAACTATTTTTTACTCATTAGCACTGCAGAAACCAAATAACTATTGTAACGCTGAGTGGGCTCCTACTGTGGTTCATGCATCAACAAAATTGTTAACTGAATTTCTATAAGGTTGTCTACCGTAGGATAAAATGGTTTATTTTACTACATGGCAGCTATGCAATTCTAAACCTAGAGAAGACAGGGCAATGGTATTTTAAAATGTAATCTGCTTGTGGACATGTTAGTTCACATGTTTTAACAATACACTTTCTTTCTAGTGTGGACAAGCCCAAGAGCACAATCTGCACTTCATGGTATACACCTTAATTTCACTTTAACCACACATTCCTGTTGAATCAGTGTTATTGGTGATGGTGATGTGCAAGTCAAAAAACAGAACATAGCGTTCAGATGACACAGCTACCAGAACATGATATTGCCCTAAAAAGTTCCCCTCTGGTCACATGTGATATCTCCAGCACAGCAGAAATTGGGATGTGTGTTGGGGGGGTGGAAGGGGAAGAGATCTAGACTTCAAAGGACAGATAGTTCCATTGTTAACAACAGACACTGCATTCCCCTCAAACTTACCTGTCGTGGTGCCTTCTGAATGTCCAACATAATACAGTTTCTCTTGTCCAGTTTTCTACACAATAAAATCTATCACTGCTGGATGGTCATATTTAGCCATTTCATCATAGCTACAAAAGGAAGGGTGGTCATCTTTATGTTAGCTGTGTAATGGTCTGCATTTGAACACCAAAAGCCTTAGAACTGAAAAACAGTCATAGCACTACAAGCTTCTCCATATTATTCTCCCAAGCACCTCAAATGTTTTTAGCCCCCTCTGCACTGGGCCAGGAACTGACATAAGGAACTATATTTAAACTCTGTTCCGGCTACACCAATCAATATAGATCATAGGCACTAACTGTGTTTAAAAATAAGAACACATTGTTTTAGATACAGGGCTACATAATTGTTGCAGGATTGTGCAGAACTGTTTTACTCCTTTGGTAAATCCACACAATACAGTCAACTATTTGATTTAACAATTTATCATGTACCATAATAATTTTAGTGTTCATCCCTAGAGAATTCCAAATACTGTATCGACAGAGAAAGACAATAAGACCAAATTTTTTGTGTGTCCACTAATTCTGGAGGCGCAGTCCGACATCTCAAGGCCTGATTTTTGTAGATGCTTAGCAACTACAACTCCAATTGACTTCAACTCTGAAAATCCAGCTATAAATTGTGAAATTAGAAATTAGTGTTTTGGCCTAATTCTTACTTTATTAGGACAATGGATTCCCAGCATCACTTTACAAAACAAAATAAACTGGTCGTGTCATAGTTTTCCCCAAAATTATAGTCTACCTGAAAGCCCAGAATTCCTCTTGGTGCACTGAAAGGTTTACGTGTCGTCTGGACCAAGTGTTCCCTCTACTATTTCCTATCCAAACATCATAGCCAGCATCTGCTAGAATGAAGCCCAGGCTGTTTGTGGCCAGATTAATGATCCAACTGGAACCATCTGCAAGTAAACCATGCTGCAGAAACACAACAGGCTTTGGACCTGAAAGAGAGATACACCGAATATTCCATACAAGCAAAACTTCTGTGACACTGATAATAAAACAGCACTCAGTCTTCATAGTCAAATTCCTAAATCCAGCATTAACTTCTGGAGAGAGATTTAGTTGAATTGCCAAGGACTGTATTTTAAAGGATTTTAATTGAAAAAGACAAAGTAGGAAGACTGTATAGAACCCTTCTTTCATTTTTTGTGCAAGTGGGTCTAAACCCAAGAAAAGTGTCAGGGGAAAATGGTGTTTCTCAAATGCATCACTACTAAATATAGAAATCTTTAGAGAAGATTTAAGGGAATGGCTTATTATTACCATAAGCTACATGCAAACAGAGAGTGTCTTTCAGTATTAGTCCTATTGTACTTGATTTTCAAATGACTTGATTTTGATATGTAGTTTAGGCTCCAAGCAGCACATGTCTGGTTGTATCTTAGGTTAGTGAGCATCAATCTGATTATTGGATCCAGGATTTCACTGTCTATTGGAGAGAATGCAAGCAATTGGGCTCAGTTTCCTCAGGTACTCCACACCTGTTCCCACAATATCTGTATCTCACTGAGTCAGTTTCTCTTGCTCTCCCACACACTCAGTGTCCACATTTATTCCCCATTCAGTAGCTTCTGATAACATTTGGTTTTAAATGTCATGTAGTGAGTGCCAGTGCACCTTATATCACTGTATTTCAGATCATTTCCTTTTCAGAGTCATTACTTTTCCCCACTCCCTGAACTCATATATATGCACAGTTCTGTGTAAATGACCGAGAATAAGTAAGTATCTTACGATCATCCCAGCTTGATCTCAGTTGTGAACACTTGTCCCAGAGAGCTGGTATTTGGAGTACACTAGTAGGTAAAGAAGGCTTCCTCTCCACATCAGGAAAGCAACTATCAGCTCAAGCCCGGAAGGGGAATCACTGCAGAGAAAGTGGTTCCAGGGACCAAGGGGGTTTGAATGGCTAGGAGGGGATGCCGCTACCAAAGAGCATTTCTAGTCTTCCCCAGAGTCTTGACTAAGTTGACCACCAAACTCTCAGTCCCCTTCCCCTCCAAACCAAACAACCACTCACTCCCGCTCTGAAACCTACCAGCCACAGTCTTCCCACCATTAGAGGCCCATCTCTCCCCCCTTCCTTTCCAAAAATTGCTGTGATAGAAACATTTCACCAGCCAGGGTACTTCAACAAGCAGTTTAAAAATGACAACATAGCTCATGTCCTTAGCATACATATGGTCTACTATATAAAATTAAAGCTCTGTAGATCTAACAGCCAAAAGGCCTATTTACAACTGAGGCTAGTTAAATGATTTCTTTACAAAATTAATACAGCTGGCACAGAAAGGTATTTCATTTTGCAGAGGATTTCACTATTTTGAAATATGGTTTCATTTCAATTTGGAACAAATCCTCAACATTTCAAATGTATCCACAAAAGGGAATAGAGTCCTGGCTTCAGAGCAGTCCACCTGGTAGGCTGCCCTGGAGCTGTGTGCCCTGGAAACCTGGGCTTCAGGGGAGCCAAGGTAGGCAAGGAGACAGGAAACTAAGCATGTGTCCATTGGAAACCTGGCTGGTTTCCAGAGGATCTCCATGGAACATTTAAATATCATTCAGTTGGCAAATTCTGACAAAAAAATTGCATCTGCAGTGATTCAAAATTAAGTGTGCAAAAAATAAATTGATAGAAGGAAAAGCTTTATATTATTTCAAAAGAAACTATCTCAGAAGAGCACTATGAAGAGGATGAACAGTGGATGCCAAGGAAGAGATCGGTTTTCACATTACGTAGGCAAACATTAAACTAAAACAGTAACCGAAATTTACACAGCATTCAGACAAACGTATGAAGCTTTTATATGAATGATGTTCATGTGTGTCTATAATACTACTGAGTGCTTAGTGGTTTATATTTGAAATTGATACAGAAAATTAGCAAAAACCTAACAGATTTTCCTTAATCCAAATTATGTATTTTCAGACTTATAAATGACAGTTAGGAGTTAATCAAAATCATCATAAATTTGGCAGACTGCACCAATAAAAATTGACATCAAACTCAATACCGGTCTCACTGGAGAGAACAGAAGTTTACAAAAACACAATATCAGCATGAACTGAATATACTTTATCTATTACTTCTACAGTTACTGTTCCCATACTATAAAGGTTCCCCCTTGAGCCCATGCTGAACAGCAACAAAGCCTACAGACTGATGGTCTCTGTTTTAGATTTGTGGCTCGTGCATCTTTTGGACAAGAGATAATGTTGCTCAAGGCAGAATAACTGACTTAGACCTCAACATTTAGATTGCAGCAGTGGCACTTCAGACATCCTAGACTCTTTTTCACACCCATAAAGGTTCATACCAGGATTCAGTTTTCCATCCACACAGGCAAAAGCCTTTCATCACATCAGCCTTCAGTTTGTCTCCCAATTTTGCTTACTCCCTCCTCTTTTCCTGCCGTCTATGTTGTACTCCCATGTTTCCTCTTGTCCTCCCTACCCACCCAGTACTCCTTCCCTTGTCCTCTGACTTTTAGGAGACCTTTACCTGCACCTTTATTCTCCCAGATTCTCATATACACTTCATGGTCCTCTAGCAGCTTTTAGAGTGTTTCTCTGCAGCATTTTCTGTCATACCATAAAGACAATTTGCATTGGTGATGTGTTCTCTATGGGGACTAAGAGGAAAGCAGAGTATGGACATGTTTGAGGGTCCTTGCAGGGACACTGTTTAACTCCTGCGAGGCTGAAGCTACAGATGGACTTTTCCACAGCTGGAGGCCAGGACAGGAATGTCACTGCAGAAAAACTAGCATTCAGGTAACTCGGGGAAACTCTTCTCCATTCTGTACAAAATTGTCACGCACATTCATGCAGAGCAGACAGAATGCCTGCTGAAATGCTTAGGAAGAACAGTAGTATAAGGGATGGGAATACAAGATGGTTCAGTTGATGTAGAAGGAACTTTTGTTCATTGTCACAGTCAGTAAACTGACATGAAATGAAGACTAGTATGTCTGTCAGCAAACACAATCGAAAACTTCTAGGTTTAATTTTTATAACCACAAATCCTTTCTTCCATGCATATTATAGAAATTAAAATATATATTATACACCACAAACATCCTCATAAAGTTAAAACTACAGAGAAAAATACTGACGCCCAGTAACAATCGTAGAACCCCATCTTTAGATTTGCAGAATTTGCTAAGATCCCTGTAAACCTCCTGTATGTATTGCTGTAATCTAGGTCATATTTAAGACAGGAAGGAATTTAAGGTTACAACAAGTTTCCTATTTAATACGGACATAAATTTTACCTGCGTTGTCAGCATTTACTTTCCCATGAGGAATTCTGTTAACACTGAGGATATAGCCGTCTGCTGTCACAACATCATACTCCTCACTGGGGTATCCTCTGTATTGAATTATTTCACTCTGCAGGAAGAAAAAAAATCAAAGGCTCTGATCTCAGACTGCCAACAGGTTTTCAATTTTTGAAGGCTTTCCTAGGCCATGTATTTGCTATTAGGGGGTTTTACTGGAAGTACTTTCTGGTGGGATATTTTCAAGGAATCTGAACTGTGGGGCATTATCTGTTATAGCCTCTGTTGGTTTATGCCACAAAATAAGGTGAATTAATAATGTATATTTCATTGTTTCTCAGAGATTCCCACCCCACCCCCAACCCAACTCTCTCTTTAACACATTACTTACAATATTCATATGCATTTCAGGATTGTCATTTGACCTGCTGTCAGAGAGTCCTTGCACCAAAATAATTCCATGGATCAAACATGTTACAGCTACAGAATGCCACATCTTGGGTCAGCCTAGAATAATACATGTTACATATTAGTGCTATCTGAATCATGCATAAGTCTTCCAAGCAGAAAGCTCCTCACCAGTTATGGCCAAGTAGCTTAATGATCCATATAGTCTGCATAAGAAAACAAGATATATTGGGCCTGCAAAACTCAGGAACTATGCTACGTATTCTTGAGCACCATCTTGTCCATTAACACATAACTTTTATAAGCTGAATAATGCAGGACTGAGTCCTGTTTTCCTGTTGCTTATTTTACTGGTTGTCATATACTATGTTGGGCACAAAATATTCAGCCCTGGCTATGTGAAGCTCTAGGCTGCATTGTTTATGCTGTATTTGGTCTCAGTTCTGTAAAACAGCAGCACCACACAGTGTCAGAGACTCAGTAGATGTGGTGTAAAGAGCCATAATTACTTTATACCTTAATATCCGGTTCATTACAGATACTAGAGATGGGTCTGCGATTTGAAGTTCAGATTCAAAATTAATCAAATATAATTAATGGCTCAACCATTAAGGAAATAGGAGTTAGGTGCAAAGCTTCGATCAATTTTTCCAGGGTAAGAAAGAAAAACATTTTCTATTCCCTTCTAATTAAGCCAGTTCCTTCAGCAAAGAAGAAAATAACCAACAATGCAATTTAGAAAGACAGTCCTCCACTGCAATCTCTTCTGTATTGTCCTGTCCATCTTTTTCCTCTTCTTCCTGGGGAGCAACCTGTCCCTCCAGTAGTTCTTTGTAAACCATCCACATCTTCATAGGAATCAAATAATTATCTGCCTTTTCTGGAGCATTAACGAATCTAGCTTTTTCACCATTTAGGATCTTTTTTTAGCTGGACACCATAGTGCAAAAAACTTTAATCTAGCATTGAGACTCCATTTCTACATCCGTAGCTGTAAGCTGTTTATCTTGAAATATTCTTACCAAATACAGTCCAAGTCTCTAGCAAGCCTCAGATCTTCCTATAGATGCTGGAGACAAAAAGTTCTCTTATAAATACTGGGGGCATGCTCTCAACAGGGTTTGAAGTGCAAACTGCGATGTGCCCTATCTCTAAATCAAATCCTGTATCTTCAATTGCAATGATATGCAAGTCAGAAGGAAGTCAACATGCTGTTCTCCTGGCTCCCTTTTAATGATTTTAGTCACTCCTTCATTTGATTCAAGTTCTGCCAGCAGGCAGTTGATTCACGATCTGCCAGTAGGCAGGCTTTCTTATCTTACACCAGTGGGCAGCATTTCAAATTCATTGTGCACTTTCGTGATCCTTCAGGATACCCATTCTCTGCTCCACTTCAGTGAGCCTCTCTTTAAAACCATCTAGGATAGTCTAAAGCAGTGGTCTACAAAGTGGGGTGCGCACGACGATCCTCTGGGGGCGTGGCAAGAGGAGTGCTGTTGGAGCAAAAGGGCGGCGTGGCAGGAGTACCATTAATAAACAAAATATTTTTTTTAAATACTGTTTATTTCATCTTTATCTCAGCCTTTTTTAATTTCTATTTTGTGTATGCTTGATAATGTACATAATATATTAGTACAGTAGTACACGTATATAATCTATACATAAATAAATATACATATATTGGGGATGCATGCTCAAAAAAATTTTTACTGATAGGGGTGTGCGATCAAAAAAGTTTGGAGACCACTGGTCTAAAGGATTTGAGGGTGGCTGGTAAAGTTATGACATGTTCAAAGAGATATTTTTTATCACCACTTGCAGGGCCGGCTCTAGGTTTTTTGCTGCCCCAAGCAAAAAATTTTTTGGCTGCCTCCCACCCCAGTCCTGGGCTCTCTCCCTCCCAACTGCACCCTCCTGCTGCCCCAG